TTATGGTTTTCTCAGGGTATATGCCCAGTAGTGGGTTTGCTGGGTTGTATGGTAGTTCTATTATTAGTTTTTTAAGGAACCTCCATACTGTTCTCCAAAGTGGCTGTATCAATTTACATTCCCACCTGTCTAGTATTTTTTTTGATAGGATGCTAGATATTGTGAACGTTACATTGTTGGGTGTCAGATTTTGTTGTCTTTTTTAAAAGAGGGTTGAAGTTTACTTTGACAGGTTAATTTTCCTGTATATCAGGTTGATCCTGATAAGGCTTAAAAAGAAATGGTTTTGTTTAAAAGTTTTTACTGAAGTTTAACATACATGCATAAAAGTACACATATCATTTGTGTACAGCTTGATAAATTCTTGCCCACGTACTTGGCACTCAGATCAAAAGCCAGCACATTACCAGTATCACAGAAGATCTGTCTTGTGTTCCTCAAGGCTTGATTTTAAGCTGTGTTAGGGCAGGGCTAAAATCATCTTTACCCTAGAGCTAATTTAGACTACTACACCAAGGCATGGCCTCTGTGGGTCTCTAACGACTGCCTGAGTGATCAACGAGATCTTACTCTGGCCGGCTGGAGCTTGAATGGCTCCTACCCTTAGGAGCTCCCCTCTACACACGGGCAGATCAGCCTACAGACTCAATTCAGATTTTTGCTGAGTAGCTCCCTCCTATCTGGTACTCTGACCCACAAATTTAAACCACCTCTCCCTCAAACTCAGATCTCTACCCCCTTGATTCAGCAAGATGGTGTGCTTTGCTGGGGAGTCCCCTCTGGCAACAGGGTCCAGAAAATGCCTCAAGGCAGAAAGCCAGGGGGATCACAGGCCTCATCTCAATTGCTTCCTTTCTCTCAGGGATTATATTCCTGTACTGCTTGTTGTCCAATACGTGAAAACAGCTGTTTTCATATTTGCCCAGAGTTTTATTTGTAAATGGAGGGAGGAGAAATTCAGTTCCAATTATTCCATCATGGCTAGAAGCAGAACAAAGGTCTCTTTTAATAAAATTTCCAGCATGGATGCCATGTTTTGCAAGATTTCATCTACCAAAATAACCCAATCCACATGTCCCTTCCATCCTTCCATCTATCTATTCAGCGGCTGCTACATCCCTCGGAAACAAAGATGAATAAAACTTGATTCCTGCCCTCAAAGAACTCACAATTAAAAGAGAAAGCCAGAAATGTGTAATAAATTATACCGCTGGATGGTAAGTATAATTTTATAAGCAATATAAGGGTTTGAGAGGACGAAGAGAAAGGTACGGTCAAATCTACTTGGAGAGGTCAGGGAAGGTTTTTACAGACTTAGGTTTAGCCTAAGTTTTGAAAAATGAGTTTCATTTTTCATTAGTGATTGACAGATGGGGTAGGACACTTGAGACAAAAGAAACTGTATGCAAAGTATAAAGTCATGAAACAACATGTAAGCTTGGGAGAACTACTAATTCCAAACACCTATAACATAGGGTTTGAAGCAGGGACAGGAAAGAGCTAAAGTTATGGGAAAAAATGGGAGGATCCTATCATAAAGGAGGGCCCTGCATGCCACGCTAACCATCATCTGCATCCGTAATTCATCACTGACTCCCACCTACAGAGCTCATAGGATAGCTGCGTGATACATATTATATTCATTACAGTTAGCTCACACAACCACATAGTATAAGGAAACCAGGCTCAGAGAGCTTACATAATTTTGCCCAAGGTCACATGATTAGTAAGTGAAGAAGCCAGAATTTAAACAAAGGTCTGATTCCAAAGCCAACAAAAGGAACTTGCCTCTAATCTGTAGGCACTGGGAAGTTATAGAAGGATGTTTTTGTCTTCAGAACTTGTTTTTTGTTTTTAAAATTATATTGATTGATGAAATGGTTTTCAGTAGGAAGAAATAAAGTTGAATTGATGTTTTGGAAAGGGCTCTCTAGTACATGAGGAAGAAGGGCTGGAGTCTGAAGAACCAGTTCAGAGGCTGCTGGAAACAGTACAGGAGAGAAATAAGAGCTTGGACTAGGTGGTGTTTAGGAGGGATGGAGACAAGGATTTGGGAAAGTTTAAGAAGCAGAATCTGTCAGATGCAGTAAACAAGTAGCTTTGGCAAAAGGGGAGATTGTGAGGTCAACTGTGGACATGCTGATACACTGAAAGGACCTGGTTCTGTACCACGAGCAGAGGATGCAAAGGTGTACCGGACAAGATTTCCCCTCTCAAGGACTTGACAGCTCATGTAGCCTCAACGAAGGCAAGCACCTTTCAACACTAGATGGTGTGGACATCATCAGCGCCCCGTGCTTCAGCCCCAACAGACACTGGCTCTGCTGCCACGGGCCCAGCATCCAGATCTGGGACTTGAAGGGCAAGGTCATGGTAGATGAACTGAAGCAACGAGTTATCAGTACCAGCAGCAAGGCACGGCTGCCCCAGTGTGACTCTCTGGCTTCGTCTGCTGTTGGCCAGACTCTGTTTGCTGGCTACACGGACAATCTGGAACGAGTGTGGCAGGTGACCAGAGACACCCACTAGAGATATATGGCAGAGCTTTAAAAATAAAAGACTGGCTTTCTGAGTTAAAAAAAAAAATCAAATCTATGAATTCCACTGAAACACAGTAAGTACTATATGGACCATATTCCCTCCTCACTACTATCTTGGCATCTTTGATGAGTCTAAAGCCCCAATCTGGAAACAACTGCTGTGGAACATAATCAACCCTCCACAAACCAGCTTGCAAATGGGAGGTCCTTTTCATGTGGGCTGAGAACTGTTCGGACATGGAGGGAACCAACTGTCCTCTAACTCTGGCTGTAATTACTGACAATGATTTTATTAAGAACAAATGCAGCACCATTTATCAAACACTGACAGGTGAGCACGGTGTCAAGCACCTGAAGAACACCCCCTTCTCATTTACCTGCCACAACGATCTAATGACAGGCCTAGCAGTCCTCTTTTGAGGATGGGAACCTGAAGCTCAGAGAGGGAAAATAACTTGCTCAAGTTTCCTTGGTTCCCTGAGGCTACCTCACTGATCACCTGAAAGGCATCTTGGAATGTGCCATCTTCAGGAAGCTTTCATTACCCTCTCCCTGGGCTCCTCTGTGCCTGATTCCTATTTTCTTTGTGGCCCCTGTTACGCTATACCCTGAGATATATGTGATTCACATGTCTGTTTCCGCCACTGGAATATGCTCTTTGAAGGAAAGGACTAGATCTGCTTCATCTTTGCTATTTGATGCCCAGCCCTGGCTCCGAGCACTGCATGTGGGATAGTCAGTCCACTCCACGGTTTCTGAGCCATCAGTCACTCATCTTGGGCGGCCTGGGGCCCCTGGCCATTCCTTGTACTTCAAATACCCCAGGCTCACTTGCCACATTTATTCAGCACTTGCAAGGTCCATACCTAAGACACCCATGACTTAAAGGGAGAACTTTTCCACTGAAAGGGAACCGGAATAGAAAGCTCAAATTCCTTGGACCAAAAAGAACTCAAATTACAGCCCAGAGGCCCTGAGACACCAACCACGTACCCTGTCCTGACATGATCAACAGCAAACCTCATAGGGTCTGGCACTTTTATTTTGCCTACGCTGTCATCTCTCTCTGCCTCAGAGTGGGACCGTGTACACGGACTGGAGGCAGCACGGGCTGGGTGTCATCCAGACTAGGCTCCAATCACAGCTCTGCCCCCACCAGCCTTATGATCTGTGGCAAGACACGTGCTCCCTGAAGTTCTTTTCTCCCTCACCTACTCCATGGGGCTAGGATGCCAACTGAGTGAGACCCCGAATGCAGAAGGCACCTAGGGGGCGGTGGGGCTCGGGGGTCTGTGGAGTGACAGAGCTGGGTTCACTTCTTGGCTCCCCCTCTTTTTAGCTCTGTGAGGTAAAGTGAGGATAAGAGAAATACCTTCCTCAGAGTTGTGTGAAGAGTAAATGGGAAGTCAGTGGTGAGTGTTTAACACATAGAAGTCAATGAATTGTAGCCACTGTTTAATTATGGCACAAAGGACACATCCTTACAGAACACAAAGGACCCCCCAAAATCTCACAGTGAGTTAAGAGCAGAGGAGTCTGAAACCCTGCTGCAAACCATTCACCAACAAGCAGCAATCTCTCCCAGACAGCTAACCCCCAAGTGCCACTGGGACTCCTGGCAGTAATGCAGCGGCAGTGGCCACCTGCCACCACGCAAGCCCAGCCGCGCATCAGCACACACGGCCAGGAACACCCACTCCTTCCAGTCTGTAAGCCAGTGTGACTTTACAGACTTTCTCGCAAGCAGAGTTTTGGAGGCCAAACCACAAACATCAGAAGTGTACTTCCCAGGGAGCCCCGACCCTCCTCATCCGTATGAACAATGGGGGAGGCTGGGTCTACGTCGCACAGCCACCCACAAGGCAGCTCTGAGTGGCAACATGAGGCAGGTGTGTGGTCAGATGGCAGTGTGGCAAATGTGGCAGCCCGCTGCTTTTCGCTAAATAGGCCCACCTTCTGTCTAGACCTGAGGTAACTAAGAAAGATTTAGGGCACGTGGAGCCACATTCAGAGCGCTGGCAGTAGACAGCCTGCTGCGTGGGAAACAGCTGCGTTTGATGATGGCACAGGAAAAAAAACGTAGGTCTGAAGTGCCCCAAACTGCTCACACTGAAGCCCTTCCACCCGCCTTCAGTGGGGTTACCCCGGGAGGCTGTCCTGCTCTCTGGACACGGCAATGGCAATGAGGATGGCAAGACCCCCAGGCTCCACAGAAAGAGGGGCCGTCTAGACCCTGGGGTCACTTCAGATGAGGGTTATGAGAGCAAAACAAGACTAAAAAAATGAACCACCTCCCAACTTCCTTCACTGAGACAAAGGTTCCAGAGGTAACAGAAACCAACCGCAGTTCTTAGGCTACAGGAAAACCACAGCTGTATCCATCCCTTCTCCTCCCCAAAGGCATGTTCACGTCCACTGCATGAGCTCCCGGGAGTCAGAACTCAAGGGCTCATTACCCACCACGTCATTTGGGAGGCTCTGGAGGTCATCAAAGGGGGTTTCCAGGGTGTTGGTGTCCACATTCAGAATCACGACATCATCCAGGGCCATGTTTCTGACTTTCTGCAAGTAAGAAAAAAATCCAGAAGAGAAAATCATTGAAGCCCCAGACATTTCTCTGGCTTTCTCTGGGAAAGGGGAGTAGGGAAGAAAAGTGACATTTGACAAAGGTATACTCCGTGCCAGGCTCAATGCCAGGCAGTTCACATGTGTGAGGCCATTTAACTGTGACAAAAACTCTGTGAGCTTGTATGGTCATCCCCAAGCCCCAGGAGTGGAAAGGGTTTCAGAGACTAAGTTAACATGCCCTAGATCACACAGCTAGGGGGAGAGATCTTTACACCCCAACATGATTTCTTTTCCTGTATTTTCAAATTAAAAAAGAAGAAGAAGAAGAAGAAGAAGCTGAAGTCTAAACCTCTGGCTCCAGGAACTCTGATATACAGCTAAGGTCTTATGACAGCCCCATTCAATCCATCCCCTCTCATTTACCAAAGACTACTTGCCCATCTCTGTCGGCTCTTGGCATTTTGGGGTATGGAATACGTTGTACAGCCTAGTGTTAACACATTAACATTTCTCTTTAACATTAAGTAGAAAGGTCACACTTTCAAACTGGTTCCATTTTCCATAGAAATCCAGCTAGTGAATCATGGCTCCGAGGCTCTGGCCATAACTCGTTATTCTACTGGTGCAGTAGTAGGAAGGGTAAGGGAGACTTGTGCCTACTAGGTGCTCGTGTTTGGTGAGAGCATGAAGGTACAGTATGGAGAAAAGAAGAGCCCACCATCTGGGAGCAACTGTCCATCGTCTGTAGAAGTGTAAGACTGTATGTAAGCTAGTTTTCAATCACACTGTTTACCCACCGCTAGAATCCATCTCTACTTCCCTCCTGCCTACCTACCACTTCCAATCTCATTCAATCCTCTTACCCCATCATATATCAAAGCTCATTTCTTTAGAGTCTAGAACTTTCATTTTGTCCTGATTAAGCAGAAAGACCCATTTGCTAATGCCCTGGAAATGGACAACAATTAAAGTGTAGTAGATGACTACTAGTGCTTGCTCTATGTTTTACTTACTAATTCTCATTTAATTCTTATCAAATCCTGCAAAGTGCACACTATTACCTTCATTTTAGGTAACTTGAGGAAAATGAGGTTCAGAGAGGTGAGGTGAGTGGCAGAGGTAACGCAGCACCGGCCACCTCCACAGCTCATATTCTTGCACTGCACCTCGACCTCTTCGTCATCAGACACCCCCAGTGAAACTGACCTCTGCCATCCTTGTTGCTCTGAGCCCTAGTACCCCTTTGCCTGCCTGCCTCCCCCTGCTGGCTCCAGGAGCCCCCTCCTTCAGGGGCTCATCAGTTTGGTTCAGCACCGCATAATAACCAGCACCCAACAAAATGATTGGCACGGGCTTCCCTGGTGGCGCAGTGGTTGAGAGTCTGCCTGCCCATGCAGGGGGCACGGGTTCGTGTCCCGGTCCGGGAAGATCCCACATGCCGCGGAACGGCTGGGCCCGTGAGCCATGGCCGCTGAGCCTGCGCGTCCGGAGCCTGTGCTCCGCAACGGGAGAGGCCACGACAGTGAGAGGCCCGCGTACCGCAAAAAAAAAAAAAAAAAAAAAAAAAGATTGGCACTTGGTAAGGGCTCATTAATATTGGTTGATGTTTGTTGTCTCAAATCCCAGCCTCTAGGACAGAATTTTCATACCTAAGTAAACATTTTGAGATTCTTCCCAGCAGGAGGGTTGGAACCATGCTGGTCAGAAGCCTCCTAGGGTTGAAATAACACTCCCAGAGGGCAGGATCCTGGAACCCTTCCGCTCAACAAGACCAGGAGCCTCAAATTTCTTCTGCTGTTGACTTTTCCAGCGGCTAGTCAGTCCACAAACCTATCAATCAATGCATACATTTACTAAATGCTTCCTGTGGGCTGAGAGCTGCAGGGGAGGGACAGGTTTGCCTACTTAGAAGTTTATTCTTTCCTCCAAACCCCAAAACTGATATTACCTGACTGCTTTATTCACAGGGTAAAAAGCTATCAGCAAACAGCATTGATAGCTAGTGTTTCACAAAGCACAATCCCATTTTACAGTTGAGAGCATTAAGCCTCATGGTGAATTGTCCAGGGCTCCTTAGCTGCCTCACTTTGCAGTCCAACAGGTTAAATACTTCGCAGTGCACAAGCAGGAAGTTACAAAACAGCCTCAACAAGAACCTTTTTCACTTACATCACACTTCAGAGCTCTCAGAGTACTTTCACACAGATTCTTTCATTTTCAACAGTAGCTGGAGGTGAGGGATCACCATTTCAGAGACGAAAAACTGAGGCTCAGAGAGGTGAAGTGGCTTGCCCAAGGTTATGTGGCTACTAACTGGCTTCTTCATCTGTAAAATCGAGAAGATAACTGTGACTGCTCACCCCACCCCAGCCCTCTTCCCCGGGGCTGCTGTGCGAATTAGAGGTGGTGTGTGCACAGCACTGGGCACACAGTAGGCCTTACAGTCGCTATTATTATTGCTTTTATAATATACACGTCACCCACGGCCAGTCTGGAAACTGTAGCGGCAGTGGCCTAAGGGCAAAAATCCTCTGGCCCCTCCTGGTAACTGCTGGGCTCTCACTTCAAAGGCTGAGACTGGCACTGGACACGGAATCGGAGAAGGGGCCACGAGGGGCTCCGGAACTCAGCCGGTGACTCCAGGCCTTGAGGGCTGAGCTGAGGGTCGCTGCACCTCACAATCGCCAATTTTGCCTCATCCGACCTCCAAAGAGCTCCAGAGAGCCCCAAACAGATGGGGGCAAGGGGCCCGGCCATTGGAGAGAAGCCTCGGTCTGAAAGGCCCAGAGACAGGGCTGTTGATTCTGGACCAGAATTGGGTGTTGTTTCTGCGTTCCCAGTGGGGGCCCAGTGACACAGACCAGCCCTTGTGGGCTCTCCACGGCTGGGCTGGAATGGGCTTTTGATTTCTTCCCACTCCTGGTTGGAGGACTTGCCGCTTAAGCTGTGTGGAGTGTTTACTTTTTGAACAATGGTAGCAGGCTGAAGAAGAGGAAAAAACCTGGCTCTTTCTTCTGACTTAGCAGGCCAGGGTCCCCTTAGTAACCAAAATGCCCGTGCACCAGGCTCCAGGAGGAGCTGGGTCGGCACAGTTTCCTCTCATAGGACAATGCTGCCCTCCTGGTGGTAAGGCCTCTTCCAAAGGGGCTGGCGTGGACTCAAGGGCCTTCCTGAAGCTCATGTTCCCAAGGAAAGAATCGGAGGCCAGCTTGGCCGGATGGTGCCCTATCCCTGAAAGGCTCAAGGAAACAAGAGGAATGAAGAAAGGCAAAAAACAAAACAAAACCCCTCAAACTGGGGGATGGAGTGGGCAGTGCTGATGGAGAAGGAAACTGGGCCATTACTGGGTGACCGCATTTAACCCTGACCATGCTATGAGGGAGGTATCACCAGCTCTGTGGTAAGGAGGAGGCTCAGAGAGGTCAAAGAAACTGGTCCAAGTCACACAGCTAGGGAGTGGCAGAGTTGACTTCTGAACCCAGTCTGACTCTTCTGAAGATGTCCTCAAGCCAGTTGCTCAGACTTCAGAACAAGTATCTACGTAGGGAGTGCAGCTACACCAGTACCCTGAGGGCTTGCTTTCTCTCACGCAAAATGACACGTCTTTTGTATCATAAAAACTACATATGTAAAAAAAAAATGGGAAAGACAAAAAAGTTCAAAGAAGAAAACTGTGGTTATCCTAATCCCTCTACCTGGAGATAATGTTTTGGTGTATTTCCTTCCACAACCCTCTGCCCCAATCCCTACTTTTTAAAACACAGTTGAAACAATTCGTAATGTTTCTTTCTGATTTTCTCATTTATTACAATATAAGCAATATTTCACTTCACTAAAAGCTTTGTAAAGATCATTGCTAATTGCTACAAAATGTTCCACTTCATAGAAACAAACCCAATTAAGCCCCTTTTGTTGGCTATTTCCAGTTTTTAAGAAATTATTATAAATAATATTGTTGTGAAATCTGTAGGCATAAAGCCTTGTGCTTTAGCATGGATTCCTAGAAGTGGAATTTCCTTTCCACTTCTTAAAGAAATGTCCCTCTCAAATTCGACTTTGAGAGAGATATCTTTACTTCCAATTATTTTAAAGTCATTTTATCCACAGCTTGTGTTTCCTACTCTAAGTGAAGAAAAATCAGCAAAGACACGAGCAGATGTCAAAATAGTCCTCCAAAAACCCTACCCAATTAAAACACTTACTAGTACCGCAGCACACCGAGACAGCTCTCCGGTAGCTCGTCCCACCAACACATTCCCTCTCTTTTTAGTTACAACATATGCCAAAGCTCCTGCCAGCTGCAAACCCTCCCCCCACCAGACTCTATAGGCTTTTTCTCAGAATGAAAAAAAAAAAAAAAAAAAATGATACTGACATGCACACCGGCTTTCCAAATGGCATTTCTTACACAGAGAAACACACAAAAATGGCATCTTCCCATAAATATTATTAATCAAAAATGTCTTTCCCTTTATACTTTGTCACGGACAGACTTAGTCTGACCTCTGCCTTTCGGGACAAGAAAGGGAAAAATCAGAATATGGGAGTTGGTCAGGGCGGCTGACCTGGATACAGGCTCAACCTCATAAATTCTCCAGGTTTTCATCTGTAAAATGGGGATCACGATAGTACCCACTTCATAGAGTTGTCGTGAGGATTAGATAAGTGAATGTACGTAGAAGAGTTAGCAAGACTGCCAGGACATCCATAAGAGGCGTTCAGCCAACAGCGGCTCTCTTGCCCGTCCGTCCCGTCTCCCTCAATGTTTCTCGGAACCTCAGTGGAGCCTGGCTAACCTTACCCCAAAGGGCCCGAGGGAGCAGAAAGTTTGCCTTTCCCCATGGTAGCCTATGGTTTACTCCCACAACCAGAAAAATACATCAATCTAGAGTCATTAATACAGGCATTTGACTCCTTCCCTGGTCTGTGGGCTTCTTGGGGCCACCAAGACAGACCTCTGTATTCTCAGCTCCCACCTCAATATTTGGCCCACA